ATGCTCTGTCTCTCTCGGTCTCAAAAATAAATAAACGTTAAAATAAAAAAAAAATTTTTAAATATTAAAAAACAAAAGCCACTAACCACATGTAACTAAGGAAATAACCAAAGAGTTAGGCAAAGGTTTCCTCACAGTAGTGTGAATAATTTTAAAAACTGATGTAAGTTTGTGAGGACAGGGACTTTGCCAATGGCTGTTCCCCACAACCTGGCTTGGTAGGCATCTGTGCAATGAATGGACCTCACTCTGACCTTTGGGACAGCGGTTACATCTGTGTGGCGCGTCCACATAATGGAATGCCAAGTAGTCACTAAGATCTTGTTTCAAATAACTTTTCAGTGGCCTTGGGAGATGCTTACTACGTATCTAGTATAGAAATTTCAAGACTGTTATGTTTATCATTTATTTCCAAAGATGGAAAAGTCTATACGCCTGTAAAATAAAACGTTAAGGAAATACACCAACAATGTTTCCAAAAAACTATCCCTAGGAGGTGTGATTGTAGGTGATTTTGACCCTTTTTAACTTTTACTGTTTTTGTATTTCCCGTATTTTCCTCAATATGCATGTATTCCTGTCTTTCTTTTTTGAGAGAGAGAGACAGAGAGAGAGAGAGAGAGAGAGAGAGAGAGAGAGAGCAAGCCGGAGCAGGGGAGGGGCAGAAGGAGAGAGAGAAAATCTTGAGGTTTCAGGCCCAGCGAGGAGCTCCATCTCAAGAGGTGGTGAGATCATGACCAGAGCGGAAATCAAGAGTCTGATTGACCTGAACCCCCCCAGGCGCCCCTGCCTGTATTCCTTTTCTAATCAGAAAAACTTATGGGGCACCTGGGGGCACTCAGTCTGGTTAAGCATCCGACATCACTCAGGTCATGATCTCACCGTTCTGGGTTCAAGCCCCAAGTTGGGCTCTGTGCGGACAGCTCAGAGCCTGAAGCCTGCTTCAGATTCTGTGTCTCCCTCTCCCTCTGCCCCTCCCCTGCCCAGGCTCTGTCCCTCTCAACCTCAAAAATAAGTAAACATTAAAAAAAATAAAAACAAATAAAAACTTTTAATATAAAAATAGTGAACATTTGGCCTGCACCTTGAAGGGTGCAAGAACTGAGAGGGTGGGGCCTGCTCAGGGGGAGGAGGTAGAGGAAGCTCGCAGCCCAGGGAGGGGTGCAGGGAGGGGGCAGGGGCGGGGCTGCAGAACCGTAGGCAGACAGGGGCTGGGGAGGCCGCAGTCTCTCCCGCTCCTGCCAATCCTTCAGGGATGCTGCGTTCTTCCTCCGTATTTTTTGTCACCCGGTCCCCGAGGCCCCTTACTTACACCTTTACTGCGGATGGAAGTGGAAACCGCCCGTGTGTGGGGCGTATACACCGAGTGGTGGGGTGGCGAACGCATAGACCTCCCGGTACTTGGCGGGGCCCTACCTGTGCCCGGGGCGCAGGGGGCGAGAGCACCCGGCCCTGGGGGTCCCAGACAGACCAGATTCGGCTGCTGGCCACGCACAAAATCAAAGGCAGAGAGACGGATGGTGGGGAAACAGGAAAGGAATTTATTTCGGTGAGACCACCACCCGGAGACCGCAGACTAGGGTCTCAAAGACCGTCTCCAAAGTGCTCAAAGCACGTCCAGGTTCATATAAAGAAAGTGTGGGACACAGGTCGTGGGTCCGAGCAGGTGGGCAGCGAAGGTCAGGTCACCACGGTCTTGGGGTCGGGCACCAGGCTCAGGGCGGTCCCTGCGCTCCAGGGGGAAGTCTCGGTTCCCACGGGGGACGCTCTGCCCGCAGGTGTGTGCCTGGGTGGAGAGATCAGCCGGGAAGGGCGAATTAGGAAGCACAGACGGCGGTCGACCGGCAGGGGGCTGGCCGCCTCCCTACTTCACGAGTCCATCCTCCCAAGCACCGGAGAGGAGCCTATCCGCCACGCCTCGGGACCAGTTCCCGGGAGCCCTGCAGGTTCCAGCCGAGGACCGGCTGCTCGGCCATCACGCCCGCGGGCCGGGAGCGAGCGGGCAGCTGGGGCTTCCAGCGGCAGCCCCGCTCAGCCGGGGGCGCGCCGCCGCTAGCCGGCCCGATCCCCGCCCCGTTCATCCCTGCAACCCGGTGACGCCTCCTGCCCACAGTCGGCGGCGGCCGGTCCGCCCCAGGCACAACTCTGGCCATACTTCCGCCTGACCCGCGCCCGGAACCCCCGGACGTCTGGAGGAGCCCCCAGACGAACACGCCAGCTGAGGACACGACTTCCGGCCTCCGCTCCGGAGGCTCCGACCGCCCAATCCTGGACGCAAGGGGCGGGCACACGGCCCGAGCTCCCGGCCGCGGACTGGTCCGCCCGAGCTTCTGGCCGCGGATTGGTCCGTCGAGCTTCTGGCCGCGGATTGGCCGCCCTCGCGTGGCGCGCGGCGCCTTCTGCCGCGGAGGCAGTGGGGAGGGGTCCCGAAGCCGCCGGAAGCTCCGCGGGTCCGGCTTCCGGGGCGCGCGCGCGCGGGTCTCTGGGGGCTCTGTCGGCCCGGCCTCGTGCAGCTCCCGGGCGGCGCCGAGCCCTTTCCCGCGGTCATGAGCGTGGGCTTCATCGGCGCGGGCCAGCTGGCCTGTGCGCTGGCGCGGGGCTTCACGGCCGCAGGTGAGCGCGCGGGGGCGGACGGGCCGCAGCCGCGTCCGGGACTCCCGGGGGCGCCGGCTGACGGGTCCCGTCCTCCGCAGGCATCCTGTCGGCCCACAGGATCATAGCCAGCTCCCCGGAAATGGACCTGCCCACCGTGTCATCGCTCCGGGTAGGCGGGGCCGGGGAGGCCGGGGCCGAGGGGCGGGCGAGGGGGCGGACGGCGCGGGGTGGGCCCGACACTGATGGAGGCCGAGGTGTGCTAAGCGCCCGGCACACTGATGCGCGGCGAACAACTGCCTAATTCGCCTGCTGGCAGTGCGACCCTAAGGTGCTCAACCACGCTGAGCCTCAGTTGCCTCTTTTGCAAAGCGGAGCCCACGGTAGCCCCTTTTCGGAGTTATTGTGAGGCACGAGTGATCGCTGGGAAAGCTGGCTGAGTTAGTTCTTCACCCTAAATCTGGGCAGCTCCCAGAACTGGAGGGCCCCGCTTTTCAGTTTGGAGCCCAAAGCGGAGGGGTGACCTCCGGGTCGCCCCTGGACCACGCGGAGACCGCGTGGCCCGGCGAACAGGTGTCCAGCCATGGTCCAAGGCTGGACCCAACTCCTCTGCCTCCCACTGGGCGCTCCCGGTTCACCTTTCCCTTTGCCTGCGCCTTTTTCTATGCGAACCCCTGGATGGGAGACAGCTGTTTCCTGGCTGCCTCGGAGAAGCTGGTCCGTGCCGGCATTTAGCTCACCCGCCTAGTAGTGGGACCGGGGACTTTGGGCCCCTGGGGGGAGGGGCAGGCTCCCCAAGGGACAGAAATTCCAGGCTACAGGGGCAGAGTGGGTTTGGCAGGGGCTCGCTTGCTCCCCGAGAGGACCTGGGCCCAGCGAGGCCTCCCCGCGCCCTGAGCTGGACCATCTCCTCCTGCAGAAGATGGGCGTGAACCTGACCCGGAGCAACAAGGAGACGGTGAGGCACAGTGACGTCCTGTTCCTGGCCGTGAAGCCGCACATCATCCCCTTCATCCTGGACGAGATCGGGGCGGACGTGCAGGCCAGGCACATCGTGGTCTCCTGTGCTGCCGGTGTCACCATCAGCTCTGTGGAGAAGGTGCACCTTTTCTTTCCCGGGTGCTCCTGTGGGAGGGGGCGGGGTGCCGGTGGCAGGGACTCACTTGGGCCTCTTCCGCGTCCCAGAAGCTGATGGCGTTCCAGCCGGCCCCCAAGGTGATCCGCTGCATGACCAACACGCCCGTGGTGGTGCGGGAGGGCGCCACGGTATATGCCACGGGCACCCATGCCCTGGTGGAGGACGGGCAGCTTCTGGAACAGCTCATGAGCAGCGTGGGCTTCTGCACCGAGGTGGAGGAGGACCTGATCGACGCCGTCACCGGGCTCAGCGGCAGCGGGCCTGCCTACGTGAGGCCCTCTGGGGACCGAGGGTGGCAGGGGGGCTGTAGGCAGACTGGGGCTGGGGGCGTGGCCAGCTAGCGGAGGAGGTCAGCCTCTGCGGCCAGTTCCCATCACCGGGAGAGCGGGCCCTAGGGAATGCCGCGAGTGCCTGCTGCCCTGGGGCTCAGAGAGTGTCCCCGCAGGCATTCATGGCCCTGGACGCGCTGGCTGATGGCGGGGTGAAGATGGGCCTGCCCCGGCGCCTGGCCGTCCGACTGGGGGCCCAGGCCCTGCTGGTTGGTATCTACACGCTGCACCTTCTGGACCGGGGTGTGGGATGGGGGTTCCGTGGGTCCCTGAACTGGGAGTGGGGCATGGTGGGGAAGCCGGGGTAAGGCTGGGGAAGGGCGGGGCTGGTGTGGGGAAGGGCGCCGGGCGTGGGGAGGCTGGTCAAAGTTAGGAAGGCCCACCCGCCGCTCCCGCCTCCCCTCCTTCCCTCCCGCCCCAGGGCGCTGCCAAGATGCTGCTGGCGTCAGAGCAGCACCCTGGCCAGCTCAAGGACAACGTGTGCTCGCCCGGGGGTGCCACCATCCATGCCCTGCACTTCCTAGAGAGCGGGGGCTTCCGCTCCCTGCTCATCAACGCCGTGGAGGCCTCCTGTATCCGAACACGGTGGGTCACTCTCCCCGTGGCCCGTGGGCCAGCCCCGTCAGGCAGATCCTGCCGTCCCTGGTCCGTTAGCGGCGTCAGAGTCTGTGCTCTGCTCAGAGCCACGGTTCATTTGACTTTATTCAGCTGAGAGTTTGCAGGCCTTACTTCGCTAATGCCCGCCGTGGCTGTGGTGGCGGGGTGGCTGTGATCTATCGGGGTGAGGAAGGTGGGGCTTAGAGACGACGTCCCCAAGCTGAGGCGGCCAGTACGCGGTGGAGGCAGGGCCGGGGAAGCGTTGACTCCAAACCCGGGGCTTTTCCATGCCGACTCCTGCGACCGCAGGCACCGTGGGGAGCTGCACACCCGGTGGTGGCTCACACGTAGCTAAAGAGTGCTTCTGAGAAGCTTCCGGGGGCTCGTGGTTTGGGGCGGGCTCGGGTTCTCGGGGGCCCGGGGTCGTGCGCACCGGGCCGCCTCGTGAAGCTCAGGCTCCCGTAACCCCCGCGGGGCTCTGTCCGCAGGGAGCTGCAGTCCATGGCCGACCAGGAGAAGATCTCCCCGGCCGCACTCAAGAAGACCCTCCTGGACAGAGTGAAGCTGGAGTCCCCCACGGTGTCCACGCTGACCCATCCCAACTCCGGGAAGCTCCTGACAAGAAACCCGGCCCCCGGAGGCAAGAAGGAGTGAGGCCACCAGGCCTCCGATCCCCGAGGGGCTGTGCAGGGCCGGGCTCGGCTCCCTAGTGTGTAGGGCCTTGTGACGAATCCTCAGATGTGTTCAGGCCGGGCCACGCTGGTTTCCCATCCCGTCTGTGGGACGCTGCTCTGGGGGTTGATGCCGGCGGTGGGTGGGGGCGGTCCCGAGTCCCGCTCGGCAAGAAGGTCTGCAGACCTGCAGCCGAAGGCTCCCTCGGTCACGTTCTCCAGCCGGAGCCCGAGGCAGGGTCGGCCTGCTGCCGGCTTGAGGACAGAGAGGTACAAACGTGAGCGGGGCTGTTCGCTTTGAGTTACAGACGGGAAAGGTACGAGCAACTTAAAATTGTTCCAATTAGAAAGGTGTGCAGATAATTTAACTCGCCTGTCCTAGGTGTCCCACGGAACAAAGTGTTCTCTGGTTTGCTGTTTAGTTGCTTCAGTAAAGTTTTATTTTGTATTTTCCCGCCTTTTTTTTTTTTTTTTT